TTAAAACGCTATGGCGCAAAAAAAAGAATTAAAAGATCGAGATTCAAAAATTTGCATCAATGGCGACGCGTCTCGAACGTTTTTAGCTTTTGATCGTTAAAGTGATCAACATGCAGAAATTAGCGAGCTCTGTTCAAAAATGAGAAGGGAGGAGTTGATGGCGGGTGGGACTTAATCCTTACAGGTATGATCCTAAAACAAAAAAGCTGAAATATGTCAGTATGATTGTCGCTGCGGTAACACAAAGCGAGCGCGCCATAACGAGCAATAAGCAAACTGAATTACGTTACAGGCACCGGGTCAACTAAAGATATGCGCCCCCCTTCTATGTAATGTATGAAAACAAGGCCATGAGGAAAATGGGAGGTTGATTTTCTTCTAATTTTCAGAGTGAAAGGCTTTGTGCGACGTCGAGGTCGAGGCCTGACATTATATGATACAAGTTATTCAAGCGTTCAAAGCCCCTCTGGAGTCTCTCTGCTTAAATCCAACTTTGGGACTTTTTTTGAAGTACGTTGCTCTTGAATGCCGCAAAAGGAAGCTGAGGTCCGCATAGTCCACTCATCAGGCTACATTGGAATTTAAGGGATCTGCCAGGGCCTTCCAATTTATACGATCAAAGTGCCGTACCCGTGATATCGAGCAACTTCCTCCGCCCCTTTTTCAATTTCTTCGGGCTTTCGCTTAATTTTTGCTCTCAGACATTCGATCGCTGAAATCGTCAGGATCAGGGTGCATATCAATGCCAAGATGGAAAGAGGAAGGGATTGGGGTCCCACCAGTTGCATAGTCCCTCCGATTACCAAGGGCACCGCGGCTTCTCCCACGCATCCACCTACTACCAACTGCGCAGTGTCGACCGTGTCAAGCATGAATCCAGCTTCCCCCGGCCAAGACATGCCTAATGGATAAACACTGGACATGCCATATCCGAACAGGGCTGGAGGTAAAAGTGTAGGAGATGAAGAGTGACCATACTTATTTTCAGAACATCAAAAACTTAATTTTTTTCAAGAATGCATCGACTTTTTAGAATCCACCTGATTTACCCCGTCAATATTTCCAAAGGACTTCTTCCATACGTCTTTCTGCCCCCTACGAGCAGTGCACTTACCTGCGGCCACAGCCGCTCCTATAAACGATGCTGCGCCTGCTACCCAGAAGACCAAAGCTCCACAGAGCGAAATCAACAGCTGAAATCGTAGCGACCAAGAAGGACCTACCAATAACGCTTGTCCTACTGCCACGGCTCTCCCGACTGTGACCGCTGCCCAAAAAATGGAGACAAGCAAAGCGGCCTGCGAGGCGGAAGCAGTCGCCCCCTCCATCACGACAAAGGTTGAAATCCATCCACCAAATCCAGACTCTCCTCCGACGTAAAGGCCAAGAAAGATGGTGAGAAGCCACTTAATGCTATCGGGCAGCGGTGTCTTGGACGCCGGAAAGGAAGCTTTTATGCTAGTCGGAAGCTTGTTGCGAGGGTCGAGACTCTCAGGCCGGGATTCGGATCTTTTCATGTCTTTCTCTCGACACCGCTTCTCCTGCTTCCTCAGCCCTTCGGCATAGCCCCTAGACGTAGAAGTATTAATGACAGCATCCCGTGTATTGCCTAAATTTAGGTCGGTAGCGATGGCCACACGCTGTCGCCCCTCTCTATCAGAGCATCTCATCTGGCTGCTAGAGCTACGGGCAGAGGAAGTTGAGCCCGGGTAAGAGTCGATATGGGCTTCATTGACCGATAAACTACGACCCATCTTCTCTGATCTGTGGAGGTCGTAATTCCTTCCCCAGCCGCTGCTCGATTGCTGATGGTGAGAGTGGGGACTGTCGAGTGGCAAAGCCAGGAGCGTCTCTTGGAAGGGCATGAAAGTGAGAGAAAGACATCTCCCATGGTGTCCCTGTCTACTACGTTTGCAGCAGTGTTTTTCATTCGAGAACACAGACGAGTCCAACTGGAGCACTGGCCCTTGGCAATACATGGAGGACGGAGCAAGAATACCCTGGGTGGTAGAATGCTGGTCAAACACAGGAAGATTTGACTCCTCCCAACGATCATAAGACACCAAATGATCACATTTGCTCTCTCCTTCCCCCTCCTTCGCCAGTATATCATGCAAAGTCTCTCCGGCTCCCGTGGGTCCCCAATCCTCTATCCCTTCCTCGTATCCGATGTCTTTGGCACTATTACTTGGATACTGCCTGGTCATAAACCCCTCCTCATCCATTTCTTTGTTCCCTTTGCAATTGTCCATCCCTCTTTCGCACGAGAGAAATCCCTCTACAATTATAACCGCTAGGAAAGGCAGTGTTCCAAGGCAGGCAAACGCATCGAAAGCAGTAAGCAGACCAGAAGACACGCCCAGAAGGAGCGACGAAAGAATGGCCCCGATTCCGAATGAAAAATGCAATGCTTGCAACCAAGGACCAGCATTATAGCCCCAGAGCTCAATAAGAACGATGTTTCCGAGCGTAGACATGGTGGATAGACCGAAGCCCTGGATGAAACAGAGAGCGAGCAGCATTAACAAGCTATTACTGCGTGGTATGGCGAAATTCATTAAAGAGGCTATTAGACCAGCGCAGCCAATACTCATTATCTTAGACAGCTTTTCGTTGTCCTTGTGAAGCTTGCTGATGAGAAAAGAACCCGCTATGTATCCTCCAGCGCGGACAGTAAATACCCATCCCAAGGTTGTGCCGCGCAGGGATAAATGCTTGGCAAGTACGGGAATGGCAGCTCCCAAGAGCCCTTGTAAACCTCCCATGCTCACCCAGCTAAAGCAGGTTATCAGACTTATTACTGTTTTTCTTTTTGTTGGCGGCACGTGAGAATGCAATGGCTGGATATCTGTCGTGGCCTTGGTCATTACGACGGACGACGAGAGTATCGGCGCCGTCTCATCTTCTCGACAAGAAGTCATCATGATTGCAAAATTTTTAACTGATTAGCGATATTTTAATTATGCGGAAAATGGCCAAAACAATGAGAGCTTTGCAGTGTACAAAGTAGACGTCTTGAGAAGGCTTAAAATTGTCTGTCGCGGCAGGCCGTCCTTGCAGCTCTTTTCCTATGTTAACGAGTACACGTCGTCAAGATGTGAAAATAATGCAGCATGGGGACAAAAACGACATAAAATTTGTTGCAATATACTAAATTTTGCACTCTCAGAATGTGGGGTGGACAATTATAAGGATTGCGACATACCACCGAAGAACACCCACAGCAAACGGTCTACCTTGGCCGTTGAATAACGAATCGCTAAAATTTTGAAATTCAATCAAGAGCAAGACGAAGATTTGTAGGAAAGAGCCTTGGGCAGAAAATATGAACGAAGACACGTTGCTTCTTATAATAACAACCTTGAGTCAGATCTCATCTGTATAATTCTGAATTTCAAGTATCGCTTTCTTGCCTTTTCCTCCAGCTTGCCTCTTGGAGAGGCCATCTACCCGCGAACCTAACAGCATCATTAAAAATTCAAGAAGTCCACCGTTCAATCAACTAACTCGACTCAAGCTTAAATGAATGATAGCCCTTGTCCTGAAAATCTGTCTGAGCAACGATGAGATTCAAAGTGTGATCTTAATCGTAAGGTCGCGATGATTACCAATCACGTAGCCTTCGAATCCAAGCCTTCGGTACTAAATGTTCGACAGAGCAAATGTACGTGTGGAGCATGCTTTTTCAAAAACTACACCACAAAAGTGTGTGCGGCACAGAAATTTTCCGTTTAAAGGCTGATATGTTGTCAAATATACCTTGGAAACCGCATGTGATCAGCAACGGCGATACTTCCCTGCAGTGAGGCCACGAATAACACATATTGAGTTTACAGCACTCGATTAGGAGGAGAGGGAGTAGAGGGAGGAACAAAAGGGGGGGAAAAGGACCGTTCTCGCGTGCTTTAATACTTAACATGCAACATGAATGGCTTTGCAGCGTTATTTAGTATTTTCTTTCCGAAAATTTTAGGTCCAGACAAGGCGAAGGCTCGATCGCATTGGAGGTCAACGCAGCCCAAAAGTTCCTTGTGCATCCCTTTCCTCTTTTTTTTCTTCCATTTCTGCATCTGCCGCTTGTCCCCTCGACCGCTTGAGGACTCTACCATCATGTCCCTGTACAAGTAATATTTGGCTCAGAACAATGCCCCCGTCGCCGTCTGCCTCACCAATAGCCACATTTCTGCCCTTGCCTCTCTATTATTCGTGGTACTTCGATCACCTCCAAGACCTTGGCTAGCGTCTCTGCTTTCAGCTCATGCTGAGCGCACACCTTCCCAATGTCAAATTTTTCTGGAGCCTCGCGCCTAGCCCGTAATATGAGGGCCAAGGTGTCCTCGTGAAGTGTATGGGGTTTATCTTGATGTGCGTGCATCACTTTGTTCATGTCTCGACGCGGCGTCTGGAGTCGGGCAGTCTTTATAGCCGGACCTAACTCATTCATCATTCTTATGAGAGTGTCGTCAGCTTCCAGCTGATTACCTGCTCGCTCAGATGGGATGGACGACGGTGGGGCAGAAGGGGGGGGAAGGGGGAGGGACTGGTTGTTTGGGCTTCTGCCTTCGATCGTTACTCCCGAAGGAGCTTCTTGTGTCCGGGACGCTTGGGCGACTGCCTGCCGCCTAGCTTGAACGGCCGCGGCAGACATGACCTCTCCTGCAGGCTTACTCCCTCGCGCTCCCATCGTCGACGCTATACGCTGCTGTGGATGGCGAGGGAGATAATGTCCGTGACGGTGACGTGTTGGGGAGGTTGCCTGAGATTCAGGAAGCGACTCCTGTAATTTACGTGAGGTGAAAGAATAGGGATGCGTCTATCAAGAAAGCTACAAAGAAGAAAAAGGAATGTTTTAAAAGGGCTTGCAATCTAGCTTGTGGGTGCTTCACAAAGCGGGGGGTTTCCTCCATGATGCCCACGTAGCATCGCCAAGGCAAACCTCAAGTCGCTCCTTTACTGCGATTGCTTCCTGACAAAGTTTGATTTGCATCCAATACATCTTCACAGCATATGCCCAGAAATCGATGCGAAACGTAATCGCTCTTGTCTTGCTTGCTGCCCAGTTGCCCGCAGTCCCCGCCCTCCTTTCCTTCACGAATCCCCCTCCAAAGCAACCTGCCCTCCATTTCCGCCCTGGCCTTCCTACAGACAACCCCCTCATCCGCCAAAGCATGTTAGAGGCTCGCATGAATCCAGCATTCCTCAAACCTGAGTACTTCACCATTGCCGAGCACCCTGGCCCGAATGCTGGCACGGGGCGAGCGACGACGGCAGGTTTTGGGCAAATCCGTCCCATCCTGGGAACGGGAGGACAAGTCTGCGAGCTCGCGTCGGTATACGTCCTCCCTGCTTCAAGAAAGCAGAGAATAGGGTCGCGCATAATTGCTAGGCTCGTGGAGAATTTCCGAGCCGATAACAGCAGAGCGCGCCAGGTCCCCTCTTCTTCCCAGTCTGTTCCTACTCCTCGACTCGTCCTTCTCACCCTGGCAGACACGGCACCTTTCTACTCTTCCCACGGCTTTTTTGTGCTTCCAGACCCTGTGCGAGCCAAGCCACCCCTGCCAATGCTCTTTGTACTCGAGTATTTGGCCGGATCAGTGGTGGCGAGGCTTTCCCGGGGCCCGGCGACCAAGTTGGTGTGTATGGAGCTGCAGGAGGGGGGAAACAGTGGGAGAATAGCTGCAAAACGCACAAATTAGTGTGGGAAGAAAGCATAAACGACGGATTAAAAGCGTCTGAAACGTCTATTTCTTGGTGGGTGTGGCGTGACTCAAGACTCTTTGCACTGTCTTACATGATGTCTCCTGCTCTCCTCTCTCGATTCTCAACGACGTCCACGGCCCCCTTCCTCCCCAGCTTTTACCTCAATTCCATTCTCGCTTCCATTCCTTTTCCGACTAAGCCATCCTTCAACACTTTTTTTCAAGTTCTCTTTGTGCCCTAAACTCACATAGCGGACGTATGGCATTGGTTGTTCATCTCCCTCCTCCTACCCGCCTACTCACCCCTCCCCTTCCTCGCTCCTCCCGATCCACGCTTCCTGACGCTCCACCCGCACTGTCTCTCCCACCACAATTGGTAGTTCCTCCCTCTTCCCGTCCTCACGCAGCCTAACAAAGGCGAGGGGCGGCGCACCGGGCGCGACGAAGAGGAGGGCGAGAGACATCTTTCCCTCCTTCCGCGCTTCCTCTCTCTGATCCTCCGCGGCTTCTTCCCCCTCCGCCCCTGCTTGCTCGCACTCGTACTCGACTCGGAAGTGATGGCCCATGAAGTGCAGATGTCGGTAGACCACGCGGCGCACACCCTGGGGACAGTGTGGCGCGAGCCGAAGCACCGACCTGCCCCCCCTGTCTTTCTCCCTCCCTCCCTCCCTCCGCTATCGGGCAGCGGTGTCTTGGACGCCGGAAA